TCGATATAAAAAGAAACAAACAATATAAGTGTGTAATATATATGTACATGTATGTATATGTATACATACATGTACAATTGATTCACAACTTCACGACAACAAATAATACTATTTTTTAAAGATTATTGTCTAATTTTTAAAAAATAAAATGTAATATTTCTTCTCCACAGCTCCAGATGTGCTCGTAGGTAAGTTGAAAACAATTTATGCATATTCATGTATGAGAATGTTGAATCGGACTTGTACACTTATTGGATGTTCATGACTCTGCCAGCGATATATAAGATTTTATTGGATGTTCCTGACTCTGCCAGTGATATATAAGATTTTATACACAACACAAGGTATACTGTATGGTTCTAGTTTATTTAGTCATACACTGAAGTCAACTTACTTAGTTATACTCTACAAAGTATACTAAATATACTGACTAATTCTTTGGCATCTTGGGGGCTACTCATGTGATGCTGGTTCATAGAACAGGATTCTAGGCAGATCTCATTAGCTATTATTATTTACTTAGTATCAAATGTTAATGGAATATTGAGCCAAATTGATGGAATTACATGAGAGAAAGCCCCCTAAGAAATTATAAAACCATTGGGTGTAAATTAATAGGTTATGTCAAAGGTCCACATTATTGGAACAATTCTGCTAACCACCCTTCAACCAAGTAAAATAACATCACTTCCAACATTAATAGGAAATATTAAAAAGATGATATTTTAAACGTATTAGATTGGTATTAGTTAATATTTAATTTTTTTTAATATACTGTATTATTGACTTACTAATTGTATAATTCAATAGTTTACCTGTTGCCAGTAGGCCTACATAATCCCCATGTCCATTCTGAGTTATCAACATACGGGTGTTATAGCCCCAAGATGCTGCCTGGGTAAACAACAGTTGAGTATCCGTTTTACGTTTTTATTTTCAAGTATTTTTGTGTATCCTATGTAACTGTAAAATGTAACTACCAAGAGATTTTGGCCTACCTTACTACAGAGCTTTCAACCGCAGGCAATTTCATGTTCCACAAGCAGCGAACACTGCTTTCGCGACTCGCGAGAGGAAGTCGGTATGCATGTCTATCAGTTCACCTAACCAACCTAACTGACGTAGAATAGCGCTCTCTGTAATTTCAGTCCAATGGGGCCAATAAGCCAGTTAGATCCAGGGGTTGAACCCGGCTGGAGTAACTATAGTGAAATCGAAGAAATTGGAATTGTCTGATGCAGCGAAGTGCTGTTACAACAATGATACAAGTTAAGTTACAATGTACACCGTAGATTGTCGGCCTGCTTGTTTTTAGGACATTGCATTCCTTTTACTTACAGTCCTCAAAAACCACAAACACTTCTAAAGAATGTGCTACGACTGTATGTATGGTACCCTTGTGTATAAATATAATTTAACATCCTAATAAAATGTGCTATAGGTAGATTACTCGGTCGTGCGCATGTAGTTCCGGGCGCATAACTCAAACACTGTAACTGGATCGATATACTTCAAATGTTCACACATTGACAAAGTTACATGTATCTCAGTCCTCAAATTTAGTGGTGATCGGAAGTAAGATACAGATTTCAGAATGTTATTAATATACTTCAGGCGAGACTTTTTTTATTCCTCGTACTTATTTTTTAAAGATCGTCGAAGGTGGGTGAAATAAAAAATTAAATTAGTAAATGAAATTATATTATCATTCCATAATATTGCAGCTAGTAATCAGCGCAGGTTGTGTTGGAACCTACCAGGTACCCACTTGTACTCCTGGGTGGAGAGAGGCAACCGTAGATAAAGTGCCTTGCCCAAGGACACAAGCGATTTGCACAGCCAGAGTTTCGAACCCCCGACCTCAAGGTTTTGCCAAAACATTCAGACGGAGGAGAAAATAAAAATAAAATTTTATTGGTGAATTTAAAACAGGATGGTTTAATGCTTCAAATTTATATAATTAGGAAGAAATATACATACCTTATCTTTGGAGATTACAAGGCAGCAGAGTGCATATTAAAAATAAAGGAAAAAAATTATATTTTTCTGGAATTTCCACATTTTCGTGGCGGCGGGTGCGCTAATTGGCCAAAAATAAAATTTTATTTTTATTCAAAATCATTAATATTAGCAGTTGGCAGGTTTGCTAAACAAGGTATAAAAAAAGTCTCGCCTCATCCTCTCTCGGCTCGAATCAATTGGCTTTTCCCATCTGTCTTTGCATCATACGAGTTTTTAAAGAAACACTTCCGGCTTATACCCCTGACCTCCATCTAAAAAAGAAAAAGAAATCTCAGCTGGTTCCAAGTCGTCCAAACATCTGGAAAGTGTATGCACACAGGCAGCCAAGAACTCTTGTTTAACAGCCGAGGCGCTGGCCAGCATTATTGGGAAAATAAATTCCACGGCTGAAGATGTAGTACTAGCTCCACTTTTCTTCCACGCTCTACAAGCGGACCTGATTCAGGCAATTCGCAGGGACCCAACATACCAAGCTATGGTATGTCTCTCCCAGTCAAGTATCTAAGAACTTCAGTGTTCGCCAGTAGAACGGGAGGCTAATTGTGTTACCACCTTTAGTCCTCACAATAATATGGGACACATCAATGCAAGGATGAAGTGCTCACTACGGGGCCGAGCAAACGAGAACGCTGGTCGCTGGCCGAGAGAGAACATCATATCAACTATCTAGAGCTGCTAGTAGCATTTCTGGGCCTCTGATCGTGTGCAGCTCAAAGGAAGGGGTGTCACATTATGCTTCGAATGGACAATAGAACGGCGATAACCTATCTCAAACACAAAGGGGGCACCCGCCGCATGGCCAGTCTGTCGAATTTGGCCACAGAAATATGGAAATGGTGCATACAGAAGCAGATCATACTTACGGCTTACCATTTACCAGGGAAAGAGAATTGTATAGCCGATGCACAGTCCCAAGTATTCGTGGACAGGTTGGAGTGGATGTTGCACTCTCAGGTTTTTCATCAGGTTTGTAACAGGTTCAGCTTCCTTCTGACAATCAACCTGTTTGTGTCGAGAATGAACAACTTCCTCGGTATGCCTCATGGAAGCCAGACCCAAGAGCAATAATAATCAATGCATTCTCGATGAGTTGGATGACCGAACAAGCATATGCATTTCTGCACTTCCGTCTCTTAACCCATGTACTGCGGAAGATTTTAGCAGAGGAAGCAACGGCATTAGTGTAGTAGCGCCCACTTGGGGAACACAGGTGTGGTATCCCATTTTGCTGGAAATTGCAGTAGCAGAACCAATTATAGTGCCACATTTCAGCGATCTTCTCACTCGGCTCTATTCAAGGCAACCACATCCGTTGAGCAGGTCGCTTCATTTAATGGCATGGCTGCTTTGCGGCAGAATTATGAAACAGAAGGGTTTTCGGAAGGAGACGTCCTCTTGGACAGTTGCAGGCCGTCCACACACAAACAATATCAGTCAGCATGGAAAGCTTGGTGTTGCTGGTGTGATAGGAGAGCGTTTAATCCCACACAGCTGTTCAAACAGCATAGGCCAGGGTTTGGGATTAAGTAAGTAACTATTGACGCTTTTAGCGACCCATACATTTGTCCAGTGCGGGCCGTCTCAAAATATGTCAAATGTACACGTACATTAAGAGGGGCAGAGACCCAATTGTTTGTTAGCCATTCAAAGCCACACAAGAAGGCCGTGTCAGCCTCAATCTGGCGTTGGATGGTTCAGATGCTGGGTTTAGTAGGTGTAGACACCAGCCAGTTCAAGGCTCATTTTATAAGAGGAGCTGCGGCATTCTGTTCTCACAGGATGGGGGTATCAATGAAGAATATTTTAGAGGCTGCAGGATGGGCGTCTAATACAACGTTCAGCAGTTTTTATTATAGACCTACTGCTACCTCTTTGTAGCCAAGGCAGTCCTAATTGATTCGAGCCGAGAGAGGATGAAGTATAATTAATGATTATGCAAAGGTACTTACTGTACCTGAAGTATAATTGTGATTATACGAATCCTCTCAAGGTGAGAATCAATTCCCACCCGCAAGATTGTTTATCTGCACGATGATGATACCCGAAACGTTCCGCCCCTGAGACAGATGGGAAACGCCAATTGATTCTCACCTCGAGAGGATTTGTATAGTCACGATTATACTTCAGGTAAGTACCTTTGCATAATCATTAATTTTCCGGCCTCAACAGCTGATAGAGCCAACTCGTTCGGCCTTGTTTAGCTAGGCCGAGCGGACTCAAGCGGATCGACCGTGGGCCAGAGTCAGGGGCGAGTCTGATTTTAGTCGGTTACCCTATTGATGGATTTGCCACACCAGGTATACGATGAACCGGACCTGGCCGGCGTTCAATTAAATGCCATTATTTTTTCAATTGATATGCTGCAACAGGACTAGGGTTTGTAATTTCAGATCTTGTTAATTATGTATTTAATATGTATACTATAGTGATATACTATACTTTAATACGCCATATTTATGTGCCTCTCTTCTACAGATCCTCCCATCGACATGACATTGTTTGTTAGGGGATCAATAGTGGGCCTCTACTACGCGCCACAGTCTAAGGATCCAGCAATTACAATGTACTTATCTGGCGTTTCTGAGCCTGACGTGGAACTTACTATGGATGATACAGATTTTAGTGGAACAGTGTTCGAAGGCGGTGTAAGCAGAAATGATGTTAACGATATATACACTCGATTCAGGATAGATATCCCTTCAAGTGCTCCACTAGTCCAACAAAGGGGACCTTGGCGCGGTCGGGTAGAGGTGGAAAATCAAAGGGAAATCGACATAACTTCATTTTATCAGAGTGTGACAGGTAAGCATAGTCGGATGTCATTATAGTTTCATAGCTGCATTTAACTGTCATAGGTCTGTCTACTGACAGTCAATAGCCTAGAATTTATAAAGAAATGTAGTAAAATGATTAAAATTATTCTGCAACATCAGCAGCAACAGCGACGCAGCAATAACAACAACCACAACGAAAAAATTGAAACAGCAACATCAATAATAGCAGTAGCATCATCGACAGCTGCAGCAGCGACTATATCAGCTGCGACGGCAATAGCAACAGCAGCCAAGCACAATAGCAAAAGCAGAATCCAATATAGATAATTTGCCGATAGCTGTCTGACGTCTATCAGGGTATTATTTAAACATTTGTCTTCAATCTTTCTAATAAAAAGCCTATGTAATGCCAATCAATCCGTACGTAGTCGCATCGGTTGGTGGATATGTTCAATTTCGGACGGATGCAAATGAAAACCAAGAGCTTCGATGGAGTCACAATGGAGAGGAGATTCCACAAGCCAACGGTCTTGAAGTATTCACAATATTAAAAGCCACTGTTGAAGATGACGGCATCTATGAATGTTACATAAATGGAAGACGCCATGAAAAGGAACACGCCTTTTTCAAGCTGTCTGTCAGAGGTGAGTGAGTCT